GCAGTTGGACATGGAGGCTCAGGCTGCCTTTGGTTTTTTGTTTAGCATTGTATTTATGACGGCCAATTCAGAATGGATCCATGATGATGTAAACGGTGTCTGGGCCTATGAACATTCGGCCGATAAAATTCTGGCGATGTTGTTCGCCGATGCGCATCGGAAAGATACCGGTACGTTGATTTTAACAATCAAAACAAAGAAGGGCATTGCTCAAGAAGACCATACTTTCGCAGAGCTCGTTTCTACTTGTGGCAAAGACTATCTGCAAATAATCCAAGCCATTGCTTCAGCGAGTTGTCGCAGCCACTGCTTTTGCAATCTTATTTTAGCCTGTCATCAGTGCAGAAGGTTGAGCACGCCGGATTGCGAATGGCGTTTCAATGGAAAACTATGCTTTCATCCGATCACGTTATATTACAGCGGGAAAGAATGCGCTGAGGTGAGGCTAAGTTGCGTTGGCGGCAAGTTGAAAGCTCGTGGAGAGATTGTACGCAATGGGTAAGTTCATTTCTGCTTCCTGCTAATTACATCTGTAGCAGGAATTTTGTAAATGATCACGAAAACTAGTCGGAAATGGTAGTGAAACAAAGTATCAAGATGTACGTAGATGTGGCAAATGGTCAGTCCAAGTGGACAATTGTAAACTATTTTGCAAACAGTCCATTGTTTTCTAGTAAAAGCCTGCCAGTTTTTGAATGCAATAATGGGCAGTTTGATTAAAGATAAGTTCTTGTTCGATTGCAGTCGGATCGGTACTTTCCAGTTGGTACCACCGGATGCGGAATCGCAACTTCACGATGTTTTGCCGGTGCTTCTGAAGTGTTCCAGAAATGGTAGTTGGACCGGTATTGTATGGAAGCAAAAAATGACATATGAAAAAATTCGTATTGATCAGATATACTGTAACTGATACGTTGTTGATAAATATACTGCCATCAATCCTGGTTTTTAACATCATATATGCCAATTATGACAATACGTGGGTTTTACAGCCATGAAGCAGACAAATTACGGTATCATAGTAACAACTAAGTAGTGTTAGCATAAACC